CACTCACAAGGGACACCCAGGAAGCACATGCCACTGACTCCTAACTTGGACTCCTCACTTGGACCCTTGCAGAGCGGAATGACACGAGGCTGGCCAGACCGTGCAGGGGTCCTGCCTTCCTCCTGGTCCCCAGCAGCAGCACCTGGGTGCAGGAGGAGGATGCAGAGGCTGTCTTCAGGGGAACTGGGCCATTTGATAGGTGGGAAGTATTTTCTTATGTCTGGGGATTAGGTCACTGCTGGGGGGCACCTACCTATTGGTGTGTGGCCTGATCTTCCAGACAGCTGCTCGGGGCCTTGTTCAGGGGTAGGAGCATCGGTGGAAATAGCCCAGTCAGGCACAGGCAGAGCAGACTTAAATGGTGGCATCCTTTCAGCTGGCAGCCAGGAGCCTGAGCTTTGAATCAGCTTTCTAATTTGAAAATTGATCTCTTTGCATTGGTTGGTGATTTCGTGCTAACAAAAGCCATCAGGGACACAGTGCTGCCTGCCCTACCTTCGTGGCACCACTCTGGATTCAAAACATCGAGCCAGAGATGGGGATTTTCCACTCCTGGGAGCCTTGGGTGGTTGTGCCACCCTGTTGTGGGTGACCCGGAGATACTCATAGAGCATTTCGAGTGCTCAGGAGCCACATATGACTGCTGGCTAGGGAATCGGACAGCCTAGGATGATAGAACGTTTCCATGACTGTAAACATTGTATTAGACCGTGTTGCTATAGAATGGTCCGTATGTCTCAGGTCAGGGTGGGGATCTACCATAGTGCATGGGGAAAATTACTTGGAGAAGGGAGGCCCGGGCCCAGAGGTGGCCAGTCCCGAGAGGCCATACGTGTGTCACCTGTGTGTGGTTCTGCGTTCCGGCGCAGGGCCCTCGTCATGTCCCAGGACCGCAGCAATGCTCAGAGCTGCCAGGACCAAAATAGCGTAGGCTGTTTTCGTGGCCTCTGGCTAGGGAGAGGTTGACATTCCATTTTTCCCCATGGGCTGGTTCCTATGTGCTTTCTCCAGATGGTGTGCTCCAGAGAGGTCTTGCGCTCTGGGAATGGTTTACAATATAAATAAGGTCCCCCATGGAGTTTTGGGAGGGCTCAGAAGGCAGCTCACCAGGATGTGGTTTTCAGAGCTGCCCCGGGGCTCCGCACAGCCAGCTGCCATCTTGGAAGCTTCTACCTCGTGCCCGGGTGCGGGGAGGTGCCCCTCACGCGGCTTTTCTGGGTGGTGCGTGTGTTCTCAGGCTGGGGCTTCCTGGCCTCTTTCCAAGTGTTGTCCCCAAACTCCTGGGACTCTTGGGACTGGTAGCCTGTATGAGAGGGGGAGATTAAGGGCAATGCGTGGGGGTGAGTACAAAGATTAAGGTCTGGGTACCGCCATCTCAGGGGAGGCGTGAGCTGAGGAGGGCTTACGATGAGTGACTTGGGGTCTGGGAATGCCAGCAGTTGGGGACAGGGCAGTTTCTATATCTGAGGGAAAAGGAGAAGTTAGTCTAGGAACTGAAATAGTCTATTAAATTTTGTCAGTGCCAAACAGAGAGTCTAGGAAGAAAAAAATTATATACCACAGATTGAATGGAGCAAAATTAGAGTTCCAGCCTTCCCTGGCAAGCCAAAGAGGCAGGAGCTCCGTGGCTCCAGTGCGCAGATGGAAACAGAGGCGCTTTCCACTTTTGCCTAAGAGGCGCCCCAAGGTTACTGCGGGGGCAGGTGGCGTCGTGGATGCTGTCACGTGGAGATCATAGTAAACAGAAAGAATGTTCTTGGGGTCAGAAATCCAGCCCCTTGTGTCTCGAGGCCTGGAGAAGCCCAGGAGGAGGTGTGCACCTTGTCTGTCACCATGTACACGAGCACGTGTGTGCGTGCATGTGGAGTGTGAGAGAGAGGGCTGAGGAGAAAGGAGTGGAGTCTAGCAGCTCACTGTGAGCCCTGTGCCTGCTGCAGCAACCCTCCGTCGCCCATTCTGTGACCTTTAGTGAGTCAGACACTCCTTTGTCTTATGTGTTAAATGGAGACACGCATGCTTGCTGGGTGTTCAAGCAGTTCTCGTGCTTTGGGTGCCTTTATTAATTCAAATGCACTCTTTCTATCTTTTCCTGCTGGATCTTGTGAGAAAGGTTAAGGTCCCAGCTTTACTGGGGTCTTCCTCACTTTAGGCTTGGGATCTACACAGCGAGTGCAGGGAGGACAGGGACGAGTTACGGGAGCGATGGGACGTCTCATGGTGGGGAGTGTCACGTCCTCCTTGAGCCTGATGTTCTGGTTAATGCAGTTTATTCCTGGGACAGAGAACAGGAGGAAGGTGAAGGGAATATATATGGTAAGGTGAGAGTCGGTGTCACATTGAGAATGTGGCTATGAAGTGGGTATGGCAGAGAGGTAATTTCCCAGGCCTTGAGGAGTAGAGGCGGGGCTGTAATGCTACAGGGGCCAGATGGAGGTAGAGCAGGTGGCAACTGCTGTGGGACAGGAGGCAGCTGACCAGCTGGTCTCCAAGAGGACCTGAAGGGTCTTCTTGCGATCATGCAGGGGTGGTAGCTATGTGGCACGAGTGATGCCATTCCCTGCGCTTTGTGCCCGTGGCGGACAACACTAATCTTTCATCCTCAGAGTCCTTTAAGTATACAGCATTTTGGACAGTGATGTCAATCAATTGGCATAAAAGTTGAAACTTATTGTCTGTCACTGGTGTGATGGACAGGATATAGACTGGAGTCCAACAGAAATGACAGCCCCACCAGGTCCAAGCTTTGGGCACCGACCAAGCATATTAGGTCGTTTTTTGGTTGCAAGGGACAGAGAGCCGTTTCACATTAGCTTTGGCTAAGTTATTTAAGTCACTTAAACATCACGGTGGGTGGGGGAGGCTCAGCCAGCCTTGCAGTACAGCCCTAATGGACCTCAGCCCCAAGAGGCCACACCTGTCTCACCTGCGTGTGGCTCAGGGAAGGTCTAACTTCAGGTGTGGCTGGATGAGGAATCTGGTGAGGTTGCTGGGGCTTTGCCTCTGGGGCAGACTCTCTCTAGGTGAAAATGTTCACATGGCTAAGCCGAGTCATGTGTTCTTCACAGGTTCCTGTGGGGACAGGCTGGAGGGGGCGGTGATAGGTTCTAGAAAACAGGTCACATGGGGAGCAAAGCTACCTTGGAGGTCAAACATAGAAGGATCAGTCCAAGGTAAGAGTTGGGGAGGTGGCTGGGAGAGGTACCAAGTGTTCAGCTGTGTCTTAGTTACAGGTGAGGAGAGGGAGGGGATCAATCAGGTTGAGCCAGCAACCTTCGGACCCAGCGGCTTCCCCGGAAGACCTTGTGCACGTGAAACACAAAAGGTCACTGTGGGCGGCCACGGAGGTGATGGATGTGCAACTGGTCTGGCTCCTCCGGCCACAGTCTCCCGGGCAGCTGAAGTGGCCTCAGATGCCAACCTCACCGCCCACAGTAGCACCCTCTTCTCTGCGGCTTTTCTTGATCCCGCGGCACCTGGCCAGTTGACTAGCGGTACCATGTCTCAGGGTCACACCTGTGTTCTGGGAGATTCAGGTTTGGGCCAGGCTGAGCTGATCGCTTGGCAAACCTTACAGATTCTAGAGCGAGGCGCCCAGCCTAACAGGCCAAAGAGTGTTTGCCAAGCATATGTGCTGTCTTAGGGACAGTCTCAGAGGCTTCGTTGCCTAGACACCGGAGCAGGGCAGCTGTCCCTGTGCAGGTTGGAGCCCTGGGTTGCACTGGTTCCAATCAGGTTTCCTTCCTGACATTGTCCCTCTCCCCTACCCCATCAACCCCTGCCACTCACAGCTCCCTTTCCCAGATAGCAAATGCTGTCTCATGAATCACCCCAAAACAAAGTGGCTCACAACAGCAGACACCCTGTTATTGCTCAGTCTCTGTGGGTCAGGAATTCAGGAAGCTCTTGTGTGGGTCAGTAATTCAAAAAGTTACTGATTTGGGGCAGTCCTGACTTGGGGTCTCTCCTGGGGTGGCAGTCAGATGGTGACTGGGGCGGCTGGGGGCTGGCCAGGACTCTCTCTTGCCACATGGCCTCTCTGTTGAGGCTAGTCTGGGCTTCCTCACAGCATGGCAGCTCAGGGCTGAATGGCTGCCTTGTGTGGGGGCTGGCTTCCTCCAGGGCGACCATCCGGAGACAGTCAGGGGGGTGCAATGTGGCATTTTTTTTTAACCTATCCTTGGAAGTCACATGGTGTCACTTTTGCTGTACTTCATTGGTAAAACAGTCACCAAAGGCTGACCTTATTTCAAGAGGAGGGCCTAGATCTTTCTCAGTGAAAGGGATGTCAGATGTGAAGGGATTCATTGACATGATTTAAAACCATCACAGCTCTCCTAGCTCCTTCTGGTCAACCAACACTTAAAGCCCAGATGGCTTTGAGGTAGCTGGAGGTGACCTTACTCTAGTGCAACCTTCTCACTTTATTATATTTATTTTTGTTTATTGGAACCCAGGTGCGGAGAGTTGAGTGAATCATACTCTAGTTCATTGTACCTTTTCATCATTGATTCATGCGATGACCTCTCACATTCACTCACTCATTCATTTATGCTTCCTCCTTGCCCCCATATCTTACTCTCATTTTCCTCCTCACCGTCCTTAAACAGTCATTCTATTCGATTTCATGAATATCCTTTTGTTTGCATGAGTTCTTAAAATACGTATTTTAATTTGCAGGTAATGTGTTGTGTTTTATCTGTTTCTGCTGAGGTCCACACGTGCTGTCATGCACGGATCTCATCTGTTGCCCACCTAAGGTGAGGCAAGGAGACCAGAGTGGAGTGATGCGCCCAAGGTCACCCAGCTGAACCGGGACCGGAAGGATCCTGGCCCTGTTCCCTCAGCATCTCACACTCATGTTTCCACGTGCCACCTCCTAACCACCTGCAATAGCTTGAAATAAGGTTTTGAAAAAATTGTGAATCTGGGGTCCAGAGAGCGTCGGAAGTGCTCCCGTTTTCTGTCTGGTCACTGTTGTGTTCTTTTCTCTTTTGCCACAGGTTCCAACTATGGGAGCCCACGCCCCGCCCATGCCAACATGAATGCCAATGCGGCCGCGGGACTGGCCCCTGAGCACATCCCCACCCCGGGGGCCGCCCTGTCCTGGCAGGCGGCCATCGACGCAGCCCGGCAGGCGAAGCTGATGGGCAGCGCTGGCAACGCGACCATCTCCACGGTCAGCTCCACGCAGCGGAAGCGGCAGCAATATGGGAAACCCAAGAAGCAGGGCAGCACCACGGCCACACGCCCGCCCCGAGCCCTGCTCTGCCTGACCCTGAAGAACCCCATCCGGAGGGCCTGCATCAGCATTGTCGAATGGAAATATCCTTTGTTCGCTGGGCTGGGCATGCTCCTGGGACCTGCACCCTGGGGCCAGCCCTCCGAGGCTCCCTGGGTCATGGGCTGTGTCAGCGGTGCTGGGCTACAAACGGGGCCTTGGGCCTACTGCATCTGCATCACTGGGGTGCCGTGAAATGCAGAGTTCTGGGCCCTGCCCTAGACTTGATGAATCAGAATCTCTGGGGACAAGGCCCAGCAATCTGCTTGTATAATAAGCTACCTGGGTTTTTTTTTTTTTTTTTCATATAATAAGCAACATTTGAGAAAATGAGCCTAAGAAGTTATAAAATATCATCTCCTGTAGCTGAGCTTGCCCAGGGGCCCACTCATGCCTTGGGGTAATAGTCGTTAGTTACATGCTGCCTCATTCCCTTCTCTCCCCTCTGTGCCATGGCACTGGATGGTTTCATGGCCTTCCCTCTCTCTAGGGTGAAGGGGCTCAGGAGATGCAAGAGCGTGGTGGTCAGGACCCCTGGCTCTTGGCTCAAGGGCCCCGAAGCAGTGGTTCTCAGCCTTGACTGCACATTAGAGTCTCCTGGAAAGTTCTAACAAACTACAGACCACTCAGTTCCACGTAGGCATAAAAACAAACAAAAAACAACCACAGAAAAACCTTCTGGGTAACTCTCATGTGCAGATGAAGTTGAGAACACTGTCTGGAAGTGCTCTGTTTGTCCATATAGAAACAGGTGAGTGGGTCCCTCAGAGACAGGGGCTTTGAAGGGCTGGGCTGTCACTGGGGAGTTCCAAGCGCCTTACTTCATCAGGATCCTGGGGCTGTAGCAATTGGAGAGGAACTTTAAGCGGTGAAGTTCCACCCCCACTTCCACCAGTGATGAAACCGAGCCCCCCAGGAGCGGCTCTCCGGGGTCCTGTGGTCAGGAACAGATGGGACTAGAACCCTGATACTGACTGTGGGAATTTTCTTAGTAAGAATTCATCCAGGCAGGACTGCTGTGTCTCTCAAGGGCCAGGATGGGAGCATTAGGCTTCATCAATGAGTTTCTATGGAAAGATTTAAAAGTCTCAGGTACTGGTTGAAAGAAGACAGCCCAGAGATAAAAGAAAGTTTCTGTGGAGACAGAAATGTTAGTTCTATAAATGTTTGAAGCCAGGTGCTGTGGCTCACGCCTGTAATCCCAGCACTTTGAGGGGCCAAGGCAGGTGGATCACCTGAGGTCAGGAGTTCGAGACCAGCCTGGCCAACATGGTGAAACGTAGTCTCTGCTAATAATACAAAAATTAGCCAGGCATGAGGGCACATGCCAGTAATCCCAGCTACTCGGGAGGCTGAGGCAAGAGACTTGCTTGAACTCGGGATGAAGAGGTTGCAGTGAGCTGAGATCATGCCACTGCACTCCAGCCTGAGCATCAGAGTGAAATCTGTCTCAAATAAATAAATAATAATAAATAAATGTTTGAGCCCCTCAACTTAAAAGTATTTTAAGAAAATGCATTTTAAAACAAGTGGCTGCAGCTGCCTGACTGGCCTGCCTGAGTGGCCGGGCCTGGTTTTAGTCCCCAGGGGACTGGGTGGGAGGCTCGATCTTGGTCAGCCCCATAGGACTGCTTACATAGCTGCTCATGGTGGAGTCAGGGAGTGGGAAAACTGAGGGCCCTGCAGATCAGGCACCCCTGACAGAAGGGCAGCAAGGCCCAGAGAAGCCAAAGGACTTGCCCTAAATCACGCAGCTGGCGACTGACAGAGCTGGGTTTCAAATCCAGGTTCCCCTAACCCCAAAGTCCATGCATGTCCCACACCCTATGCATCCATAGTACTAGGTAGGACTAGGCAGGTACTAGTAGATACTAGGTGGAACCAGTTAGGTACTTGGGAGGATGTTCGGGAGCTGCAGTCCAGGTGCACTGGGACATGCTGGACCTGGATCTGGGCCTAAAACCTACTCCCTGGGTGCTGTGGCCCCTCCTCTGGGGGAATGTGCCTTCCCACCTGGAGGAGAGGAAGGGGGCCCAGCCTTAGCAGTGCCAGGTGGGTGGCATTCCAAGATTGCTTGGGAAGAGTGGCTGGACAGGGAAGGAGAGAGCCTGGAGTACTAGCCAGCCAGTTCTTGAAAAAGTGGCATCTGACACTGTCATTAGGAAGGAAAAGCAGTTTAAAAAGTCATCTGGGCCTCAAAAGGTGACACAGAGCCCTTCCCAGGGCGTACCTGGGTTCTCTGCTTTTTAGCCAATGGCTTTTCTTCTCTGCCTGATTGGTTTTTACACCTGATCTTCTCTGGCATTAGCCCAGTGCCTTTAGCATAAAGTGAAGGATGGAGAGATGGATAGTCTGAATGAGGGGAGGGGAACTGATAGTGCCGGAAACCCCAAGCTCAGCTGTCCCCCACTGTGGTGGAGGCAGTGAGATGACATTTTCTGGGTGTGTGTGCACGGGTCTGACCTGGCTGGGTTGTTGCGTCCTTGTCCCGATGGGGACAGCACAGGCACCAGCTGATGGAAATGAAATTGGCCAGCCTGTGGGCTCAGTGTCACTTTCCTAAGCAGGCGAGAAAAGGTTTGGGAGGCAAGAGGTGGTGCGGCAGGAGGGCCAGAAGAACTGCCTACGAAGCCTTCAAGGTAACTTTAGAGTGGATCAGTATAGGGTAGTCCTTAACACTGAGACTGCCTGAGCTTGGATCCCATCCTACTACTTGCTCTGTGACCTGGCACAAGTTAACATCTGACCCTTCTGTGCCTCAGTTTTCTCATTTAGAAAGTGGGGATCACAAGCATACATTCCACACAGGACATTTCCATAGGGGCGTAAGAATGTGCCTGGCACTGAGCAAGCTCTTGGCAGAGGTCAGCTTCTGTCCTTACTGTCACCGGCACCAGCATCAGCGTCTGTCTCCCATCATCACCACTTGTGCCTCATCCAGCACAAGGACAGCAGATGAAAAGCTTAGTCAGTCGGTCTGGGTTCCGGTCCAGGTTCTGCTATGTGCCAGCTCGGGGTCTTGGACTGACCGCTTTACTTTTCACACCTGCAAAGTTGGGAGATTGACGGGTCCACTGTGTGGCATCTTTTTTGATATCAAGGTGGACACAGAAAATGTTCTACAGGAAAATGGATCCTCACAAGTACCCACAGGGCTAGGGAGGCCAGTGCTAAGATAATCATCCGGGTTCCTCCCAGTTCGCAATTCTGTGACACTGGCCCAGGGTTGCCCGTGAACACGTCAGAAGGCCGTCTGTGGCAGGGGAGTGAACACTGGACTTGGTGATCGGGAAATCTGGGCTCTAGTCTCAGCTGGTCACTAACCTGCTGTGGGGCCTTGGGAAAGTTTCTCAGGCTCTCTGGGCCTCAGAGGGTCAGACTAGATAATCTCTAAGGTCTCTTTCTGCCTCAGTATTCACTAACTTTGTGAGTATGGATTTCCCTGAGAGAATTATGGTGGTCCCCTCACCCCAGACCTCCACCCCTCTCTGTCTTCCTCCTCCTGTGAGACTCCATGAACTGGGCTGCACACTGGGCAATGCGAGCGGAGTAGGTGGGAGTGGAGCTGGAAGAGCATAGACGGGCCCTTCCATGGAGGGTGTGGGGTGGTCCCATTGGAAGGGGTGTTATCACATTAGCTGATTTTTCTCTTGAGAGCGTATCCTTCCCTGAAAATGTGATGAAGAAGTCAGGGCGTGGGAACATCTGCCTGCACTGCTCCTGGTGAGGGAACCTCGGACTGTCCCGCTAGAGCCCAGCACACACCAAGGAAAAATCAGGAGGCCTTGAAATTAAAGCTTTGCCTGCTGAAGCGGGACCTTCGCAGACCAAAGGGGTTTCTATGCTGTCTGTGAGACTCATCCTTAAAGAGGAGATGCCTTCCTTCCCTGTACTCACTCAGGATGGACACCCTGCCGTGCTCTTGGGGGTCTTCAGGATCTCCGGATCCTGTCAGAGAATGAGAGAGAAGAAATGGAAACCACTCTTAACTTTAGTTTAAAAGATTAAAAATAAACTCTCCAAATGTCAATGAAACCCAGGGGAAGTCTCTCTGTCTTAGAATCCCGTTCCACCCATGTCCCCCGTTCCAGGTGGGCATGGGCCCACAGGCAGCTCGGCATAAGCCGTGAAGAAACGGGGTGCTTGGCACAGGCCATGCTCTTTAGAGGCAACCCTAGGCACACATGGGGAAGAATGGAGACCAGTGCAATCCAAATAAATAAAAGGAGGGGAGAAAAGTTTTTAGAACTCTGTGTTTACTCTGGCACGCGACTGGCCTCCACTGCTTTTGACATATTAGGGAAAATGTTGGCGGGGACCCACTAGCCGTACTTAAAAAGGCATATGTTTCTTTTCAGAATACAAGGGGCTTGGAATGCATTGTTTAAACAAAATTCTTACGAATCTTTGATTCATTTGAAAAAATACGTAGATGTATGTTTGTTTCACTTGTACTTTCCGTGGCATTAACTTCCTTAACTCCCTTTCTCAGACCATTTGAAATAATTATTTTACTGACTATTTTTGCCAATTGTGTGGCCTTAGCGATCTATATTCCCTTTCCAGAAGATGATTCCAACGCCACTAATTCCAACCTGGTAAGTCCACCGTCTTCAAGTCTCTGCTTTTTCACTCGATGGAGAACTGCGTTCAGATCACATAGATTCATGAAATGTGGGAGAGAAGTGAGACATGTGTTTGGCATGTGCAGAAGGCCTGTAGAGCTCACATCCCGCGCGCTATTTTGCTCTTTATTCAAATCAGCGCCTGTCTCATCCTGGCCTGTTTTCCAAAAGAATATTCCAGTTAGGTGGTGGTGAGCTCTGTGTGTGTGTGTGTGTGTGTGTGTGTGTGCGCGCGCGCGCATGTTTAGTAGCAAATCCCGTGACTGCTACAAAATGTGCTGCAAAAGTTGTGAGTGCAGGTGTTTGGTGCAGCAAACACCTATTCTTGGGTTGTGTCTTGTATTTACTTTGAATGTCTTTGTTCCATTGGTGGGGTTTGCTCAGGTGATCTGCAGCGTTGCTGTTCGATAAATAATTTCTAGGAAGCTTTTAGGAACGTTTGCTTTTGCAGCCAAGATGTATTATTGAGTTAGAAAGGCTTTCTTTTATTAGGAAAGGCAGCTTTCCATTTGGATTGTTGAGGGGCCAGCTCTGGCAATTTGGGGTTAGAATTGTTCCATGGAAAAAGTGGAGAGTGTGTTTACTTTTGGCTGAGCTCGAAGTCATTACAAAGACTTTTGCTTCATCTGGGCATGTGCGGAAAAGAGCTCTGGAATGCAGTTGGCAAAATTGGGGCACTCCAGGGTGCCTCTACGAAAGGCACACAGGGAACATCCTGTCTCTTTCTCCCCCTCCATTGCAGAGACACCATCACTCTTCATGTGATTTCCACATGGCGTGTTTGGTCATCAGAGCCACCATCTTTCCCCCGCCGTGAGCACCTTCCTTTAATTACTGAGATGGGACCATCCAATGAGATGGTTTTCAAAAGAAGCAGGCAGCTTATAGGATTCTCCTCTCCACAACTGCTGGGCTGATGCCATCACACGGTTGTTCTTGTGTTTTGTAACCTTCGACATTTCCTTGGGCCCTTTCAGCAAAAACAATCTGATGCACATTTTAACTTCTCTGCTGTCACCCCAGTTTTTTCAGGTAGCCGCTGATGCATAGCAGGTAAGGTGTTCGCCGCCTGTGGGCTGTGGTGTCTTGTGGCTTGGCTTGGGGCCCTTTGTTGGGGACAGGCTCCAAAAATGTCAAAGCTGGGCACGGCACTGAATGATGACATGGCCGGAGTCGGAAGGCAGAGCATCGGCCGCCGTCCATGAGGCCATCTGAAGCGTGACCTTGTCTCTTAAGGGGCAAGAAATCTTTACTGTGTCAAAATAAATACAAGCCAACGTGTCTCCCTGAAGCAGGAGCTCCTTCCCTTGGTTCTGTTTCTTCCCTGTGCAGCCACCTCCTTCCCCTGCCATGGTCCTCCCAACCCTCCCACAGTTTAACATTTAATCTGCAATTTTTAAAGAGGAGCCTTGGTTCCAAAGAGAATCCGTATCTTGTTCTTAAGCTGATGACGCTTTGGGCTGCCCAAGGCCCAAGCAGTGGTGAAAGTGGGTAGAGGACTTTGGTTTTTCTTAGGTCCTAGAGATGGCCACATGTAGCCCCTTCACCCCTCGGTTCCCGGGAGGTTTAAGGGAGCCACTTGGGTTGCTGAGCTAGAGGGAAGCCCTGGGCTGGCCGAGACCCCTCAACCTTGGACCTCCTGGAGGCAGAGGGGCTCGTAGGAGAGGACAGGAGGTCACCCTGGACTTATTCTGCAGCTGGAGTGAGGTTGCTGGGTACAGATGATGCGGGAGGAATGGCGGGTTTTTATCACACCGCAGAGTGATGGCAGTATTCTACACGAGATGGTGGGGCTGCTTGCACGACTGTGTAACTTTACCAAACATCATCGAATTGCGTACTTACAATGGCTGAATTTTATGGTATGGCAATGATACCTCAGTAAAGCTGCGGATGACTCCTCATTCTCTGTGTTCCACAGTCATAGGGTCGCACTTTCCCTGGGGCAGTGAATGCAGCCAGCTGAAGGGGAAGGGGGGGGATCGGTGGGGGGGAGCATCAGAAAACCCCTAAAACAGACAAATAAACACTACCTCACATCAGCTAATAAATCAGAACATGATTCAGCCCCATGGAGAAACCCATCGCGAGTGCTGTGACCTCGCCTCCCGGTCCTTGCTCTCTATAGCATCTTCAAGCTGCAGCATCTCTGCAGATGCCCCGTTTTCAAAACACATTCTCCCCTTGCTTCTTCCAGCCTCTCTCCCTGTGTCTGCACGAACGTTTACTAGGCTTCTGTCCTGAGCCCTCTGATTTTCTTCTGCACTCTCCCCTTGGGGAGGTCCTCTGTGTCCACAGATTTAAGTTCCCTTTCCCGGTAAATTGTTGCTAAGACTGACATGTCCAGTGCTAAGCCTTTCCAAAGGCCTGGCCCAGTATTTCCTGCATTGGAGAGGCCTGTGGACAGGCGCAGCGACCCCAAAGCCTGCACATCATTACAACCCCAGAGAACTCCAACTGTGCATGGTCTGGGGATGCGCATTAAAAAAATTCCTCATAGGGAGGCCAGTGATTAGTCAACTTCAGGAAGAACCGGCCTCTTGGGCAGAGCAAAATTTGACTTGGACAGACCTGACTTCAAATCTTGGCTTCTCCACTTTAAGATTAAGTCTGGGCTGGGCATAGCGGTTCACGCCTGTGACCCCAGCACTTTGGGAAGTCGAGGTAGGTGGATCACAAGGTCAGGAGATTGAGACCATCCTGGCTAACATGGTAAAACCCCGTCTCTACTAAAAATACAAAAACAAAACTAGCCGGGCGAGGTGGCGGCGCCTGTAGTCCCAGCTACTCGGGAGGCTGAGGCAGGAGAATGGTGTGAACCCGGGAGGCGGAGCTTGCAGTGAGCCGAGATCACGCCACTGCACTCCAGCCTGGGCGACAGAGCGAGACTCCATCTCAAAAAAAAAAAAAAAAAAAAAAAATTAAATGTGAATCTTAATCTGAGGTTATTTAATCTTTCCAAACCTCTTTTCCCCAGCTTGTAAAATGGAAGTGACCTCAGAGGGTCCTAGGGAAGAGTAGGGTTGGCAGTGATAATTATATATGCCAGGATGTCTTACTGATACCTCAAACAAGCCCCAAATAGAACTCATTCTCTCTCCCGCCACACGACCTGTCCGCTGAAGAAGACAAAACATAGCCCAGGTGAATGCTGCTCCTTTTCTTTTCCCTTGGCCGGGTTGATGGCATTGCTGGCCTTGCTGTCACACAGAAGCATCTCTGACATCTTCTTCCCCTTGCTGTGCCCATCTGAGCAGGAATCCAGTCTTGGAGATTATAATTTGCAATGTATCACACTTAGCCTTCTTTTTATTCTCAAAGTCATTTGTTTAGACTTCGGGTGCCTTAGTTTCTTCATTTATGGAATGGAAATAACAGTAATGACAGTACCTACCTCAGAGGGTTGTTGTGAAGATTAAATGAGTCCAAATATGTAAAGCCCTTAGGAGAGCGCCTTAGTAAGGGCTCAGTGTTGGCTCTTGTTCATAGTGCTGGATACTATTGTTATTATTGTCATCGTCGTCATCCTTGTCACCCTAACCCAGGCCCTGTTGCCTTTTTCCTGGACTCTTACAGTCGCCTCCTTCTTGCTGTCCTCCCTCTGGTCTCTCCTTCCACTGGTCTAGCTCGTGTGTGTGTGTGTAGTCATTTGCCAAACATCTATACCAACAGACAGACACTGCGATTAATAGGGAAGATAAACCTGTAAACATGTTTCAAATGGTGAAGGGTCTTATACGGGGCCAAGGTGTCAAGGTGGAAGAACTGATTCATTTTGCTGTAGAGAAAGGATTAATGGCAAGTTTCACATAGGTTGACATATTTGCATTGCGTCTCTCAAGAAGAGGATGCCATAGAGGTACTTCAGGCTGAAGTATACTCATGTGCAAAGGCCCTGTGGTCACATTCTTTAGGACCAGAGGAAGGGGTGCTGGTTTTGAGGGAATGGGAAAAGCCGGGTGATGGAGGCTTGATGGCCCATGCAGACTGCTGGACTTAACTGCAGGTGAGGAGGAGGCTTGAAGGCTTTACTGGCAGAGGAGTGCTCTTGCAGCATGAGGAAGATGGCTCAGACGGAGGCCTCACTGTGAAGAGAAAAAGAAAGCTTGCCAGAGTCCAGATGATGGTGACAATAAGGATAGAGAGGAGGCAGTGGATTTAGGAGGCAAACTTGCCTGGACAAGTAACCAGATGGATATCATGGGTGGAAGAGAGAGCTGGCTCCCAGGATGGTGATATGAGGAGCCAGGTGCCCTTGGCCAGGAGAAAGACTTCAGGAGGAAGGTCATATTTGAGGGGCAGGGAATGACACATACGATTGATGATTGTCAGGTGGAGGAGCCCGTGGAGCATGAGGTTGGAGATGTCCCACGGGCTGTCGACAGGGGCCTGCAGCCCAGGAGACTGTTTATACTGAGGATGGAGACTTGGGGGCAACAGGAGGAGAGACACAAGGAGAAGCTGTAGGTATGGCCTAGAGCACCTGCATCAGGGTGGAGCAGGAGGGTAGCAGTGACCACAGCTGGACCCCGGAGAACAGTGACGTTTGCAGAGGATGGAGGAAGAGGAGCAAAGGAAGGACGTACACCACGTGTCAGGAAGGCTTAGCCCGAGAGGTAGGAGGGGAACCTACTGAGAGTGGAGTCTTAGAAGCTAAGGAAACAGAGAGTTTAAGATATCCAAGAGGGGCTGGTTGGTAGTTCAAAAGCATGGCTCATGGCAACTCAAGGCCAATGACAAGAGCATTGGACTGACTGTGAGAAGAGCTGAGCTTAGGGCCGAAACTAAGAGAAGAGGATATTTATCTGTGTCTGTACCCCTATGGAGGCCCTGAAGTACTAGGTGCATGACAACAGTTTGCTGAGGTTCAATGCTTGGAACATTCCCATTGTTGTGCCAGAGTGGGATGCCCCAAATCGTTTATGTACCCCAAAAATGAAGCTTGCGAAATCCTCCATTGGTTTCATAGCTTT